GCTACATTGAAGTTTATGGATGAGTGTGGAGTGAAAATTAACACGGGACAGTCCGCTTATGGACATTCACAGGGAGGAGTCCGGTGCGTTGAAATCGGTCGTTATATTGCAGGACCGAATCACACTCTTAATTTTATAGTTGGTCTGAATGCCTCTATGTTTGCATCAGTAATTCCGGGTCCATCAAATGCAAACCAATTTGTTATTTTTTTCACTGAAGCAACGGAAGCGTTCACTGTTGACGGCGAACCAGTGTTAACACCAGGTGATACAGTTGTTGTGGACAATGCCCCGATTCATCACCACGAAGCAGAAAGGTTGCTTTTTAATTTACTGGATGATTTTGGCATTGAATTAGTTTATCTCCCAACTTATTCTCCAGATTTCAATCCTGCTGAAAACTGCTTTAACAAATTGAAAATCACACTTAAACGTGACTACTACAGGGAATTATTGCACGATAACTTACCTATTGCTGTATATGACGCACTTTCCGAAATAACACCACATGATACTTGGGAATTCTTTAATGCAACTGGCTACTTAAATATGAATCCCAATCTATAGATTTCCAAATAAATGCACCTTGGCAACTCAAACTAAACAACCTGTTTCAGGTTTATTTAATCTCTTTTTTTATTAGAAGTATGATAATTAGTATGTGTGTATGTGCGAGTTGATAAAAAAGTCTATATGTAAAATGTTTGAAATAATATTACCTTGCATTCGATACAAATTAAAACACGGGAGTGTAATACTTCTATGATTTAATATAAGCTATACATTTTTATGACCAACGAGGCTGTGGACAGCGTGTTCTCTATACATTATTTGTATCGACTTCGATGGCCACTAAGCTTCAATGTAACTAAATTAAGGTTGTTACAATTTAATAACGTAACGTCAAAACTACGTGGGTGAGGCAGCTTGATCGAATTCTGTTGTAATTTCTTCAAAACATTTTTTTGTACATTTGTTTTAAATAGAAAAAAAATGCAACTTTATTTTGTGAATGGTAAAAAAAGGTTACTTTGAAAATCAAAAGGTTCAAACAATTATAAATATTAGTGTATAATTTTGGGTGATTTCATTTTTTATAGATTCTGCTTCATGTATTTGTCAACTGCTTTCTCATATCATAAACATTTCATTTCATTTTCAAACCAGTTTTGTCAAGTTATAACTCTACAAATCAGTATCCACTGATGAAGTCTCTAATTGCAGACATATATCTATATTACTAATAATTA